ATTCCTGGGACCAGCTTTCCATTCCATCTAAATGGCTACATATGGCTTAGTGGCTACTGTGTTGGTCAGCACTGGTTATAATCTATGACCTGTGTCATCGCTATGTGCTTTTCTACGTCATAGTCAACGGGTAGACCCTGGGTGACACTTTTCAAGGGTGCTTATATCTAGAACTGGAAGACCTTCTAAATAGTTCAATACCGCCTTCTAAATAAACTCAAAAATATTTATCAAGCATCTGGTACTTAGCAGTATTGCTAGGAGAAATAGAGACTACCACGTCCCTCCCTTTGTGTTCTAACTATTCAGCAAGGAAATGGATTCAGAGACATGGAACATTAGAGAAATAGACTGTACAGCCTTGGGCAAGGCTACTTTTAAGAAGAGTATGAAATGACTTGTTATTTATTTATGTATTTATTTTGTAGGTGTTAGGGCAAGAGGACTCTGGAAATTAAAATTTATTATCACAGTCTCCACTTGGTTTTTGGAGAACTCTCTCTTAAAATGAAGAATTATTCAGTGTGCATCAGGGTTGTGGTTCATTTCACATGTTTTTAGAGGATCTTTTGCATTACTGAGCATCTTGTTCCCCACACACTGCGGGTGTCTTGGAGAATGTCAATAAGACGCTGCACAGGTGCAGCAAGTGTCAAGTTCATCTTGCTCCCTCCTCTCAGGGAACTTAGACTGGCTCCAAAGGTGCACGCAGAAGGAGAGCGCTTAGGAAGCCGTAATCACTTTCATCTCATTCTTTGTGCAGGATGGTCTAAGTGTTTCTTCATGCTCATCTATCAGAGCCTGTGATACCAGCCAGGCACTGGTAACTTGTGATAGTGTAGACTTTATAAACTACTCATCACTCAACCTGCCTTTGTGTAAGGTAAGTGTTGGCAAATACCGTCAGTCTTCACCTGGTAAATATTTTAGTTATCAGGAAAGCCCTTATATCTTACTCTTAATCACTGTTCTAGTTTCCCTGCAACTTTCTAAAGGATGCATCTTATTCTACAGAAGTTACACAATTTATATGAAGACAGAGAATCATAACATCAATGACAAGATGATCTAAATAGAAACCATTGACTTTGAAACTTTTAGCCTATTGCGGTACCTAATTTTCATGTAAGTTGGGAGCGTTTTTTTTTTGTACCATTTAAAATTCAAAAACTATAGCACGCTGGTTCAAATTTCATGTCTACTAATTAATTGTAAAATGCTTTGAGACTCTAAGGTGGAGTTTTAAATATAACAAGTAAAACCTAAATGTGAAGAATGATTCCTTAAAAGTTGAACCGTGCTTCCCCCTACCCCCTCATTCACAGCTTGTAGTCAGCAGAGAAGTTCACAGAAGGTTCTCAGTCAAGGGGCTTTACACATCTGGTCCTCTCTGCTGCATTTGCAGATGAGGACACTGGCATCCAGAGAGGGCATGCAATTCTCCAAGGGTCACACAGCTGGCTCTACGGGACAGCGCTGGGTCTAGAAGTAGAAGTCTGCGCTCTCCTGCGTAGCCTTCATATTCACTTTTTCCCAGACTGGTATCTTACTGTAAACGACTCATTGATAACTTACAAAATCGACAATGGTAATTTCCTAAATAAGATATTAATAACAGAATCATAGATTTCCTTATGTTCATTAACTTGCTTAGTGTATCTAATGAAGACTAATATTTATTGAGCTCTTACTGTGCACCCAGCACTGTACTCTGGGTTTGTATTCATTACCTGCCTAAATTTTCCCAACAAACTCATGAGTCAGGTTTTCTGTATATCATTTTATATATGAGTAAACTCAGGCATAGAGAGGTAAAAGTAGCTTGTGCAAGATCACACAGCTACTATGTGGTCTAGCTGGGACTGCATCGCAGGTCTGATTTTTAAGCTTGCACTTTTAACTGGAACTTGATACATTCTCCCTTCCAGTTGGGCTTTCCTGGTTGTCTATTTGAAAATGTACTTTTAATACATAATAATTTGAAGGGAGTTGTACTTCTCACATCTTTGTAAGAAGATTCAAAACTGTGTCTCCGCTTAACTCTTCCTTCTTTCATTAATTTCTATTGGGCTTGTTTGTATTATACAAACAAAATACAGAATTAAATGGAATAGTATCTTGAGTCCTTTGAATTTAGCATTCCTATCAGTTCCTGTCACTTCATTGCTGTCAAGCTTTAAATGTCCCGCCTCTCCTGGAGGGAAAGCTAAAGCCCTTACAAAACTCCTGCAAGGTTGCTGGAAATCTGTATCTCCCCTCCTTTTGCTCAACTCTGATCTCACTTCCTGTCTTTCCCCTCAAGCATCTGTATTTACTATTCTGTCCACTTATAGACATTTGCTCAAATGTTACCTTTTTTCTTTGTTCCCTCACCACCCATTTGCAGCTGAAAATTCATCCCCCCACTTCAGCACACTCTACCCCTCTCCTGTTTCCTATTTCCCTGCAGTACTTGTTACCACCTCTTTTATTTGTTGACTAACTCTCCCTAAGAAAGTGAAGGCTTGATTGCATATTTCACTGCTGTAGTCCTAGTAGACCAGTGTCTGTCTTAAAGAAGGGGCTCAAAAAATATTTGCTGAATTATGGGATGTACTATAACCCTTAGATCATGCCTTTGCTTCAACCCCAAAGCATAAACCATATATTCTGAGCACCCCCACTTGGCAATGGCCTCTCACAGGTCTGTTACTCACAGGTAAATTAGTCAGTCCGTTTTTCCTAGTGAAAATTAATTTGTCCTTTCTTCCACTCTGAATTCTTGGTACTCTCTAGGATTTCAAAAGGGGGAATTTCGAGTTCCTTAAAGGTCCCTCAGCGATTTAGAAGGGATGACCTATACTCTTACTGTTCTCTTTAAAACAGGACGATCATGATAGGATGGGAAGCGTAAGAAGCAACAAAATGAGTAAAATTGTCATTAAGAGTACTTTCAAGTGGAGAAATATTAAAATGGCAGGTTTCACCCATTTGTAAAAACAACAAACAGTGAGGTGATGGCTCTTTGAGTGTTTGCAAACACTGCTTTTCTTTGAAACCTTGTCTAAGAGGGCCCAGCGAGATGAAGGAGGCTGGGGTTGGGGGAGGGTCTCAGCTCCCTGGGCTGTGAAATGAGTGGACTGAAGACCCCCAGGCTTCACTAAGCTCACAAAGTCTGCAGAGCTCTTGCAGGTACAGCCATGGAACTTTTTATATTCCGTGTTTATTATTACAACTGACTTAACCTTCTAAGAATGATTTTAAATAGTTTTTTAGATATATAAGCTTTATTTTTTCATAGTTCTGTTTTATCCGGTTAAATGGTAATTTTTATATCATTAAATGTTTAAAAATGTAGATAGTATTTAAGAACATATACATTTAAAGGACTATCATAATAACTCTACTTAACTCTCATTCATTAAGGGACTAATTATCCATTTTGTGAACAGGTAAGCCCCCAGTAGCTCTCTTCCCATTTTTGAACAAGAGCAAAGAGTTTGAAAAATTCCCATTCTAGTTTGTGACTTGTTTATAAGCTCCAGGCCATTATAACCAAAGGCTAAAATGAGTTTTTGACACTATGTGAAATTTCCTATTTTGGGTGCTATACCATCCACCTCCATTAACTTGAACTGAGAATTACCAGTACTGTACACAGCCCATTAATTTCAATTAAAATCATTTCACCTTTATAATGCCTATATGGTAAACTATATAGGTCTTAAAAGCTATCAAAAAGAAATTTAGAAATGTATTAGTCAGTTAAATCATATTAGCCTATGGGAGTAAGTTTACATGTGTATATTTCCAAATTTCAAATTAATATTGGGGCGCCATTATTGTGCCAGTTAAGCACCAATGTATCCAGTCTAACTGACCTTTTTAGTCAGAGAGAGTGGAACACAGGCAGATTCTCTGGGTTTTAAGATGTTCACCTCTATCACAAATCTAAATTCTGGCACCCCTCTCTAAAACCTCAAGAATATAACACACCTTAATAAAGAGAAAAATTAAACTTTTGAGCCATGAAAACAAACAAATCCAGGTTTCTTTTCTACAATGAGTCTATTTTTGTTTTTACAAAATCACAACCCTTTATTTTTCGTAAGCTTTTATTAGAGTTTCAGCATTATTTGGTCATGAATAATCCTATAGGAGTCGGAATAGAATCAAAGGGTATGATTTAGCTGGATCTCATCCTGTTAGCTACTGGGGCTTCATGGATGGCCAGCCAGGTCCTAACTGGACAGAGTGCGCCTTAAATGAGGTCCATCTTTTTGGTAGGCAGAGAATCCAGAAAGGCAATTTTGACGCTTAATTTCTTTGGCTGTTAATACCACGAGAACAGCGGGTGTGACAAGGCCCGAGAAGCAGGCTTTGCAGTGTGGTTAGGGGATCGCGCTCCTAAGGCAAGCCTATACGTCCCAAGTCCCGCAGCAGGGGTTGTGGAAGAGACAAAAGAAAGGCTCTGTCTGCCCTCGCCCTTCCCCAATTTAAAACCCAATTCGCAAGCAGCACTTAGGAAAATTAAACCAAATATTAAACATAAGAAAATGCCGATTGTTCTAATTGCCCATTTTGTGTTGTACAAATCAAAACCGAAATGGAATTTTAAAACGGAATTTTAAACAAATAGCTGGATGGAGCAAATCTAAGATGGAAGTCGGAGGATTCGAGTTGAAATTGACAAGTTGAGGGCTGAAAGCATTTGGATAAAAACAGCCTCGGGGCACGAAAAGGAAAGAGCAAAACGAGTATTGCCACCAAAGAACTAGAGAGGCCAATACATGTTGCAGTGGGTCGGTTTGAGCGAAAGGCGGTTTGCTTTTCCTCCATTTGCTCAGTCCCAATTGGAAGCGCACTCCCCGCCCGGAGTTGCGCGTGGGGGCGGGGAGCTAAGTACGGTAATGGGCGGGGGCAGAGCGCGGGCGCGCTCCGGCTTCCCTACTGCGCATAGCTCGCGTCACGCAAGGGGCGGGGCGGCTATATTACGTGCGCGGCGCCGCCCCTGCGAGAGGACGTTGCGTGCTCGCTCGCGCCAGGCGAGTGTCCGCGTCTCCCTCACGAACTCCGTGAAAGGAATTGGCGCCGTTCGACACCAGGCGGGTCCGCTCTGCAGCAGGAACCCTCCTCCACCCGCAGCCGCAGCCGCCGCCCGGGCCGAAAAGCAGTCGCAGCAGCCGCCGCCAGTGGCCGAGTGAGCGGAGCCGAGTTTGAGCCAGCGCCTAGCGGTGAATCGAGGCCCTCACCATGAGTTCCTCGCCTGTTAATGTAAAAAAGCTGAAGGTGTCGGAGCTGAAAGAGGAGCTCAAGAAGCGGCGCCTTTCCGACAAGGGCCTTAAGGCCGACCTCATGGAGCGGCTCCAGGCCGCGCTGGACAACGAGGAGGCCGGCCGTCCCGCCATGGAGCCCGGGAACGGCAGCCTAGACCTGGGCGGGGATTCCGCCGGGCGCTCGGGAGCAGGCCTCGAGCAGGAGGCCGCGACTGGCGGCGACGAAGAGGAGGAGGAGGAAGAGGAGGAGGAAGGGATCGCCGCCCTGGATGGCGACCAGATGGAGCTAGGGGAGGAGAACGGGGCCGCGGGGGCGGCCGACTCGGGCCCGATGGAAGAGGAGGAGGCCGCCTCGGAGGACGAGAACGGCGACGACCAGGGTTTCCAGGAGGGGGAGGATGAGCTCGGAGAGGAGGAGGAAGGCGCGGGCGACGAGAACGGGCACGGGGAGCAGCAGGCTCAACCGCCGGCGGCGCCGCAGCAACAGCCCCAACAGCAGCGCGGGGCCGCGAAGGAGGCCGCGGGGAAGAGCAGCGGCCCCACTTCGCTGCTCGCGGTGACGGTGGCGCCACCCGGGGCCAGCCAGGGCCAGCAGCAGTCGGGAGGTAAGAAGAAGGTGGAAGGTGGCGGAGGCGGCGGTCGCCCCGGGGCTCCGGCGGCGGGTGAGTGCTGCGTTGTACCGTTGCGCGCGGCGGGAGGCCTGCGCGGGTGGAGCCGTGCCCTAGGCCTGCCGGAGCCCCGGGGGGAGGGAGTCCCGCGCGGGGGCCGCGGCGAGGGGGGTGTTGGAGGAGGGGCGCGGGGAATCCCGGATTGGCCGGCAGGCCTCGGGATCGGTGTGTGTGACGGTGGTGGCAGCGCCTCCATTATGTGGCTCGAGAGCCAGGGGGAGCAGCAGCTGCCGCTGGAGGGGAGGAGTCGGGGGCGGGGGGGGGTGCCCCGGCGGCCCGCGGTGGCGCCGCCGCGCTGCGTGCGCGCGGTGCGGGCACATGTCTCGGGGGGAGGGGAGAGGCCCGAGGGCCCGGGCGGGCGCGCTTGGCGGCTCAGCCGCGGTATTGTGCGAGGAGCTTAGGGGCTCGGTGTGACGTCACTTCCGGCGGGAGGGGCCGGCGGGGGGGAGAACGGGGCGGAAAATAAGTACAATGCGGCCTTCGGGAGCGCGGGCCCGGGTGGGGGAGGGGAGGGCTGGGCGCGCGGGCTGTCGTGCTCCCTCCCCCCTTCCTGAACTCTTTGGGCTACACGTGGGCTCGGCCTGTGCGGCTCTATTTTTCATCAGGTTTCTCGAATCTTCGAATAGAGTGGCAATATTTATAATGTCTTTACACTGCGTCACTAACTCCAGTCTAATTTCAAGCTGATTGTTCTTTGAATTAGTATATGACTCGTCGTTGAACGCTTACGAAAAGGAACAGGGAAATGTTGCGCCCCCCTTTTTTTTTTTAAGCTTCAAAACAAAAGGACTATTTCTGTTGTGTTGTGTGGCTTGGCCTCTGAAATAGGGGTGTTGTGTGTTGTAGGAGACGGCAAAACAGAGCAGAAAGGCGGAGATAAAAAGAGAGGTGTTAAACGACCTCGGGAAGACCATGGCCGTGGATATTTTGAGTACATTGAAGAGAACAAGTATAGCAGGTAGATGGTGCTTACCCAGTTTTACTCGCCGCCCGCCCATTCTTTATTCTTTGGTGGGAAAAGCTGTATCAGGAGACAATACTGTCTTTCAGAGCCAAGTCTCCTCAGCCACCTGTTGAAGAAGAAGATGAACACTTCGATGACACAGTGGTTTGTCTTGACACTTGTAAGTGAAGCTGCTTCTTCCCCTTCATCCCCCGGTTTCAAATGTGGTGGTTTTGGTTCCAGAATGTTAGGAAACTTATGTAGTATTTTGAACTTAATGCAGAAAAGTTAGCGAGGATGCGAAAGCAGTTTTTCAAAGGCAGGAAGATGATGGCTTATATTCAGATTCCGGTAGCTTAATATTTAGCATCAGTTGTATTGATAATTTTACAGGCTCTAGCAGTTCGGTAATATTTTTATGTGACTTGAAAGTTCTTTGTAGGAATGTAAAATTAATGCCTGTTTTTGACTAGATAGCTAATGGAAACTTGTAAGGCTACCTATGACTTGTCCTATAGGCTTCGATAAAGTAATTTCATCTTTTTGTGGAATTATGTTAAGTGAGCTATTTGGGTTAAATATTTTAATGATTTTTCCCATTAGCACACAAGTATATTCCCTATTCAAAAAGACTGTAATATAACTTTCTCAATAACTGCTCTTTTGTTCTCAATTCCAGTTCAGTAGCTGCTGCTTTAACATAAGTTGATTTCTTCCAAAGACCTGGGGCAGCAGCAGTGGGCTATCACTGGGCCACTAGCTTTCTTCACCAGCGAATGGTATCAATGGCAGCGCTGTAAATACTGCTACTTTACCCAGTTGGGTTGCAATTGAATATGAGGAAGTATTGCAAACCTCTAAATGGGCCATGGCTGTCAGAGTTGTAATTCTTATTTACGAAAAGATTGGATGATGTAGTATTTGATCAGAGTGCACAGTTCTTTCAGTAACAGAACAAAGTATAGAAATAATTGCTTGAAAAATAAGAGGTCAGGTGTCAACCTGCCCTTGTAGAGCCTGGGGAGCTGAAATTTAGATTCTCATGATTTGGAGTACAAATTGTTATTCAGATATGTAAAAGTGTTAATGCAAACTCTTTGTTATGGAGCACCCTTTACAGGTAGTTGAGATAGTGGAGACTTTTTTGAAAAGGTAAAAAGTACGTGGAAAATTAAGGCAGTTGATTGAAAAGTTTTGTTAAATTCAGTTTCTTAAGTATAAACCATAGGTATTGACAAGGTACTGGAGCAGTGATTCAAGAAGGTAACACTACTGTCATGGGCAGGCTTTTATTAGCTGGTCACCTAGGAATTTTAATTTGTTAAGTGCAATACTGGGTTTCAATCATTGAATTGAAAGTTCTATTCAGTGATGGTCAGGAATTTTAAGAGCAAAGCTAATGTAAGGGGAATTCCAAACTGTAGGTTTAATTTTTTTCTCATCAAAAAAACCTTAAGAGAAGAGCTCTCTAACTTTAGTTCTCCCTCAAAAATGCATGCTAATGAGCCACGGACCCAAAGGTAGCTAGGTAAAGACATTCTGGATTTGGATAATTCCTGAAGTGGGTAATCCCTGTTGTTAACAGCCAAGCGTGGGGAAAAAGGAGACCTAAAGTGTTATAACAGTAACAGCATTAGACAACCAGGTTTGTGTTTTGTAGATTGAGGCTGCCTTATTCACAAGTTTTAGAAAAGAATTTAGGATCTAGAGCCCCTGGTGGTTTAAAGTTAGAAAGTACAGGATTGGCAGCTCCTGCTCATTTTAAAAAATACTTGGTCATGGCCCCCCTTCAGTTCTGTTTGTGGCACTGGTAAATTCTACCTGGTTCTGGCATGCTTCACTTTGATTTCCTGCTGTCCTCTACTGCTTGCCTCTAAATCAAGGTAAAGAGCAGAGCAGGTATGTATTAATGTCACATTGTCTTGATTACCTTATATACTTAAAGTACATGTTAAACGTTGGTGTTTCTTAGTTTTATAGGTAGTTTATGCTTCATAATTTGGCAAGAGTGACTTGGTGGGAGTGGGGCTTAAAACTGAAAATTTAAAACAGCATGTAAAATGTTCTGTGCAGTGTTTAGAAATACATGCAGAAATACCAAGTTTTGCCTGCACAGCAGATATATTTATAGTTGATGTCAATAGAAATAATATGGTACTTGATATAATTACAGATAATTGTGATCTACATTTTAAAATATCAAGAGATCGCCTCAGTGCTTCTTCCCTTACTATGGAGAGTTTTGCTTTTCTTTGGGCTGGAGGAAGGGCTTCTTACGGTGTGTCAAAAGGCAAAGTCTGTTTTGAAATGAAGGTAAATACAATTTTATGGGGCCTTTTTTTTAAACAAGAACCTGTGTGAATTTCCGCTTGCCTGACACTTAAGTGTCAGTGTAACTTTATTTTTGGAAGTCTCTGGATTAGAGAAGGGGCTTAGAAAGCTTTTCTAATAGTTGAATATGTTGTATCAGAATTTGTGGTATACAGCCTGTGTTGTTTTTTTGTTTTTTTAAATAAAGGGTGGTCCTTTTTTAAAATCAATGCACTTGAAAAGACCAACCAAGGGCTGACTTAAAAACAGGCTCTTTCTTTTGTTCCAGAGAAAAAAATGTTAAGTATGACATTTAAACCAGTCATCTGGTTTTGGGTTGAGTATTGACAATATGCAATTTTTAAACATTAACTGTTCTTTTAAATGTGAAACAACCAAGTACTTAAACCTTTTTTTAATTTATACGTCCTCATGCTTAAGTTCTTGAGTGGGTGTCTATTTGTATTAGTAGTCAGAGAAGAGTTAGCCCATGGCACAAGTGAAATAAGCCAGGGTTTAAGGATTTAATTTTTGGTTTACAGTTTAACCATTTATGATTTGACTTTCAGGTTACAGAGAAGATCCCAGTAAGGCATTTATATACAAAAGATATTGACATACATGAAGTTCGGATTGGCTGGTCTCTAACCACAAGTGGAATGTTACTTGGTAAAGTTCCTATTTGAGTACTATGAGCTTGTGAGTGTTTGGGTCTGATTTCAGGAGTTAGAGTAGAAGGCACTCCAAACATTTTGCTTGTTATTGTCCAATTCTGTTAATATTTTAAATGAGATGAATAACATTAGCGTGTAGTAGGCAAAGGCAAAATTTTAGTTTTTGTTCTTTTATGACCATTGGTTAAGATAGAATGTTATCCATATTAGGCAGTTTGTCAACTAGTTACATAACCCACCTAGCTCTCATTAATTGTATGTCTAGTTATAAAGTCAGTGTAAGTAAAAAAGTATTAAGTACATATTTCTCTTAAACCTTACATCTTGACTATTTAAAATATGTGGGTCATTGGACTCTTCTGAAAAATCAGCTTCATGGTAGCTAATTATTTTTTAGGTGAAGAAGAATTTTCTTATGGGTATTCTCTGAAAGGAATAAAAACATGCAACTGTGAGACTGAAGATTATGGAGAGAAGTTTGATGAAAATGATGTGATTACATGTTTTGCTGTAAGTTACAGCTGTTTAGGTATAAATGGCAGTATACATGTTAGAAATTCTTTTTAAAGCTCTAGCAATATCAGCATTCACTACTAACTCATTTTGACAATTTTAACAGCTGACCTGAAAATCTGGTCTTAATCTTTTAAGGCTATGTTGTTTCCGTTTCTGGATATAGGTGTTTCATTGTTTATAACCATCAGAAGCTCTTAATAGTTAACCTAAATACGTTTTCCAAGGATAAGCTTCATTCCTGATGTGAAATGTGAAGTTTTTTAGAAGCCTTACTGGAAGCAAATTAAACTGTTTTCCCTCCCAATTAACAGAACTTCGAAAGTGATGAAGTAGAACTCTCCTATGCAAAGAATGGACAGGAGCTTGGTGTTGCCTTCAAAATCAGTAAGGAAGTTCTTGCTGGACGGCCACTCTTCCCACATGTTCTCTGCCACAACTGCGCTGTTGAATTCAATTTTGGTCAGAAGGAAAAGCCATATTTTCCAATACCTGAGGACTATACTTTCATCCAGAATGTTCCCTTGGAGGACCGAGTTAGAGGTCCAAAGGGGCCTGAAGAGAAGAAAGACTGTGAAGTGAGTGATTCCCCCTGCCCCAAACATTTGAGCATTGCTTTTGCTGAGATACAAATGACATTTAGAAGAGCTAGATGACTGGTCTGTTGCATTTACTTTGGGCCATTCCTGTTGCTCTCAGTAGTTTTTTCTCTTGGAAGCTATCTCCTTTCTTTATGTGGAGTGCCAAGATTTTCACAAACACAAATTACCTTGATATAGTGTTGTGAAAATTCAGGTGTTTAGATTGTTTTTGTTAAAATATTTTTTAAGTTACTAGGTGAAATAACACTGCTTTCCATTGTAGGTGGTTATGATGATTGGCTTGCCAGGAGCTGGAAAAACTACCTGGGTTACTAAACATGCAGCAGAAAATCCTGGTAAATACAACATTCTTGGAACAAATACCATAATGGACAAAATGATGGTAAGTAGAATGTTTAGGGGATATAATCTTAGCATTTTAAAAAAACCAGAAGGTATTCTCAGTAATTCCTTTACCCTGTTGTTCTTACCCATTTTGATAGTATTTTAGAGGTAGGAGAATTTCTTGAATTCTTTTCATCTGGCAGCCTCAAAGATTGAATAGCATAGGGTCTTAGTACATGATATTGACTCCTTGTTTTGTAGTAATAGGGAAAAGGCAATGTTTAAATTTTAAAATGATGCTTGTTTTCTGTGTAGAGAGATTTAAGTAGCTACTAAGCTTAGCTGGAGATTCACAAGTTCAAAGGAAATTTTTGACTTTTAAAAATAGGTGGCAGGTTTTAAGAAGCAAATGGCGGATACTGGAAAACTGAACACACTGTTGCAGAGAGCTCCACAGTGTCTTGGAAAGTTCATTGAGATTGCTGCCCGTAAGAAGCGAAATTTCATTCTGGATCAGGTAAGCTGTAACTTTGAAGTTGGAAAAAGTACCTGAAAATTGGGTTTGGTGTAGAATTAATAAATAAGCTTAACTTTTTTCCTTCCTTTCCTTTTTTTCTTTCTTTCTTTCTTTCTTTTTTTTTTAGACAAATGTGTCTGCTGCTGCCCAGAGGAGAAAAATGTGCCTATTTGTAGGCTTCCAACGAAAGGCTGTTGTAGTTTGCCCAAAGGATGAAGACTATAAGCAAAGAACACAGAAGAAAGCAGAAGTTGAGGGGAAAGACCTACCAGAACATGCAGTTCTCAAAATGAAAGGCATGGGATTCCATTTTATTGATATTCTTTATGTGACTTAATATCTGTAAACTTAAATTAACATTTCCTACTAGTAATACTGTTTCAGCAGTTACATTAACTCTTTGTAGATGAGTATGTTTGGCTTATTTCTACTTTCAGGAAAATGTAGGAAAACTAGGAATAGATACTGTATTGTGAGTTTGTTGAAAAACTTAAAGGCAGGTTTAAGGCGTGTGAATGTGCGTTAATGTGACTTTATTCCTTGTAGGAAACTTTACACTGCCAGAGGTAGCTGAGTGCTTTGATGAGATAACCTACGTGGAGCTTCAGAGGGAGGAAGCCCAAAAACTTTTGAAGCAATATAAGGAAGAGAGCAAGAAGGCTCTTCACCCAGAAAAGAAACAGAACACTGGCTCAAAGAAGAGCAATAAGAATAAGAGTGGCAAGAACCAGTTTAACAGAGGTGGTGGCCATAGAGGACGTGGTGGATTCAATATGCGTGGTGGAAATTTCAGAGGAGGAGGCAAGTTAATTTTGAGTATTGTGTTTATTTGGTTCAAGATCGAAGCAAGTGAAAATCTAATTTGAGACTGCATGTTACTTAGTTGAATTTAACGTTAGAAATTCGATCCTCATTGATAGTAGCTCTTCTAGTTCTAAGTTAAGTTATACATGTAAAGGAGGTTAACACCCTATAAGCTAAACTGTTTCTTGTTTTTAGCTCCTGGGAATCGTGGTGGATATAACAGGGGCAACATGCCACAGAGAGGTGGTGGCGGAGGCGGAAGTGGTGGAATTGGCTATCCGTATCCTCGTGGCCCTGTTTTTAGCAGCCGAGGTGGTTACTCAAACAGAGGGGGGAACTACAACAGAGGTGGAATGCCCAACAGAGGGAACTACAACCAGGTAATGATCTATGGTCCCTGCTGGTGCTGATCCTGAGTACCTGTGTAAAGCAGTCTGAAAAAAAGCTTTGTGTTGCATAGCCTCAGTAAGAATTGTGGGAAAACAGTGTGGATGCAGTGACATGGGAAAAATCAGTGATGGTAGTAAAATGAGTCCACTTAAGTTTGATTTCTAGGTACACTAATTAGCAGCTATCCATTTCTGTGTTGTGCTGAGTTCTTAAAATATATATATTTTTTACATTTTAGAACTTCAGAGGACGAGGAAACAATCGTGGCTATAAAAATCAATCTCAGGGCTACAACCAGTGGCAGCAGGGTGTAAGTAATTTCTTATGTGGTTATGTACATTAAGTTGTATATTGAGTTCATAAGAATCATTCTTCAAAAAGATCTTACCCAGGGATTGAAGTGGATTGAAGTTTGTAAGTGTTTCGGGGCAAAGTGTGAACTGTGTTGCAGTCGTAGTCATAATCTTTTGAAGGCAAAATAGGTTGGAGTTTGCTGTAACTTAATATTTTAATGAAGTAATATTATTTAATACATATGGTTCTTTTTACTACTAGCTTTAATTGTATAAACTAACCAAGTCCTGATGTGTTTCCTTTTGTAATGTGTTTATTAATAATAATGGGATATTAATACTAACTGAATGTGGTTTGATAGAAATCAGAGGTATGGCAGGTATAAATTTGTTTCCAGCAGTTACTCTGAATTAAATTCATTGTCATTTCCTAAAAGCAGTTTGAGTGGCTTATTGATGTTTTTTCTTTAAAAAAAAAATTTTCTCTTACAGCAATTCTGGGGTCAGAAGCCATGGAGTCAGCATTATCACCAAGGATATTATTGAATACCCAAATAAAACGAACTGATACATATTTCTCCAAAACCTTCACAAGAAGTCGACTGTTTTCTTTAGTAGGCTAACTTTTTAAACATTCCACAAGAGGAAGTGCCTGCGGGTTCCTTTTTTAGAAGCTTTGTGGGTTGATTTTTTTTTTCTTTTCTTTTTTGTACATTTTTAATTGCAGTTTTAAAGTGAATCGTAAGAGAACCTCAGCATTGTGCACGATAAGAGAATGTGTCAGTATTTCAGGGTTCTACATTTTATCTGTAAAATGTGACTTTTTTTTTTATCACAAAAAAGTAAAATGTTGCTTTGTACCTGGTGTCTTTTATTAAGAATTTACTCCCCCCATTTCTCACAGAGATAACAGTCGGGAGTCATTGTCACAATATAACAGAAATGTTAGCAGCCAGATTCATGTAAGGACTGAGTGGTCCTCATGAATTGCATAAGACTCTGTACTGCTCATATTACACTCCATCCTCTCTGTAGTTTGCTGAGTAGTGGAGGGGGTATGCTAAATAGTAGTTTCTGACAATACCTGGGAAGGCTTTTTCTTTTTAAATAACAATGGAATTGGCATAATTGAATGAAGATAAAACTTGGAACCAAGATAGAGAAGATGGAGTGTATGTAGAAGGGCTGTTAAAAATGTAAAACTTGGTTGTATTATTTGTGGAGGCTCAAACTTGTGAAGGTTAAATACCATAATTTTTCCATTTGTTCTGCATTTTGATTCTGAAAAGAAAGCTGGCTTTGCCCATTTCTTATTAAAAAAACTTGTTGTAAATCCAGTTGTCTAATGGGATCTATATGAAGTTAGCTATGTCTGTATGCCCTTCTCCCACAAAATACTGTATTAACTAGTGTGCTTGTAGTAGTTAACTCCACCATCTTTGTAAGCTAATGCAATTGTGAGTCACCCATTTATATCTTAATTTTTAATCATGTCAGTTCTTGAATGGGTATCTCCTTAGCCTGCTGATTTCTTTTTCTTTCTAAAGAAAGTGGGTGGAGAAATTAATTTAGACGTTTGTTTGCAATAAAAAGAATTCATTTTACTCTCGTTTTGGGATTCTCGCCATCAAGGTTCAAAATCCCTTTTTAAAACTCCCAAGAGGAGAAAATTTAAGTGTGTGCTTTCTGGACAGCTTCTTATTTACTCTGTACTCGGAACATTTAGGTTTTAAAAACTTAAATGTATACTGACAATTGATATTAATTATGAAGTAAAGTTGAATTCTTCCCTTCCCCTCCCCCGCAGATGACTTAACATTTAAGGAGGGGAAAAGGTAATGGCTGGGAGAAGTTAACACTCACTTTATCATCTTTACAAAATGCTAATGGCTGTCCTCAACTGATATTTTATATACATATATAATACATGAAACTCTGGGAACAGATGCTTTTAGAAGCCATCATGCAAGCCAGTCATTGATTTCACTACTACACAACACTGCTAACTTAACTGTAGCTTTGTGATTACATTAGATCCCCTAACTGTAATTTTATTGGGTTTGCACAGAACACTTAATCTTCTAAAAGGACCCTCACTGATGTGAAGTGAGGAATCAGGAGTCAAACTGTAGAACTAAAATTTCAGTCTAGTGTTGTTGGTGTTTTAGGCTGCCTCTGGTAAGTTTAGGTTTGTCTATATTTGATTGCTTAGATTTTTGTTTTAGCCACTTGAAATCAGGTTTTTAACTTTACTAGGATTTTTTTTTCCCTACAAGCTGAGCTGGGAGTTGAGTTTTAGATGTTGGTGTAGGTAGCTTCATTGGAGAAATTTGTGGAACAAGACTAAACTTAGAATCACCATAAAAAATACTTAATACGAGGTAGTATCTCAAGGGCTTTTGTCTTTTTAGCAATTAGTTTACTGCTGGCAGTCATTAGTAAGAGCTACTTTCGCAACACACATTATTACTAGGATTGCAGACTTGACTTAAACCCAGAGAGGAGAATTCATTGTTGCTAATCAACATTTAGGTACCCTAAATTTTTAGACGCCTTTTAAAAATCTTGCATATGCCTTCTAGTCTAAAATTGCTTATTCCATATTCCAATAACTGCAGTGGCAGAGTAATGGCCAAATGACAGACACTATTTGATAGACTCTCATGCCGGTGTAGCCCAGAAAATTTGGGCAAGAGAGATGGGATAGATTTTTAAAAACACTGTCTAGGAAAATGTTAAAAGTTTTAAGGAGTCTGAAGATCAGAATTAATAATTATGTATGTGATTGTATGAAAAGAAGTCTTTGAGAAAGTAAGAAATCCAGAACAGGGAGTGCAAAAAATAGCAAGCCAAAGGGAGAAAGGCCAGGTGTGGCAGAATAAGATCTGTGAATGAGAAAGTTGGTTTATTCACTCGTCTCCTCACCCACCTCTCCTGGCAAGCAAAACAGAACGAAACAAAGTATAGTGCTGAACGCACGTCCCAAAATACCTAGAGAAAGAACTCACCTGTGGTTACTGTTAGTGTAAGGGATGCTTTTCACTGGAAAGTCCCGCAGATAATTGAGTTGGATCAGGTTGGTCAGCTACAGTAGAAAACAGCTAACATAAAGAGGCTGGTAGGGGAAAAAATGCTGCAAGATAAAAATGACAAGGTAACGTGAACTGACATGACTTAGAAAGTTCTCGTTGCTGGTAGGTTACATCTTGTTGACACAGATCTAGCCTTTGATGGAGGGGCTTGGCTCTGACCTAGAAGGCTCTGAACCAGCTTGTGGCCAAACACCCAAACAGCAAGGTGAAAACACAAGTCAGATCGATTGGACATCGAAATGACCAAAAAAAAGCCACACTAAATCCACAAAACAATCATCTTGTTTGCTTAGGGTAGACCCTGTCTGGAAATAAGACAGGAAACTGGATGTCCTAAGTACTAATGTTACTTGCAAGTGCTCCAGGAAAGGCAACTACATTTCTCACCTACCTGGGAAGTTTACTTTGTGTTTAGTATTTGCCTCAGTTTGGGCAATTGACTTTTTTTTTTTATGAACAGTAAATTAGCTTTTAATCCTGGGATAATTTTTATAATATGCATGAATGAAAATGATGAAATACTTTAATAGTTTTTAGTGGTATAGACATTTGTTACAAAGATCTGGCTGTCAGTTTATGAGTATATTTGACATTTGTAAAAAGCCAAAACCAGATTAAGTTTATACTAAGAAGGCATAAACTTGCATCTTCTATAGTCCAAGAGTTTCTGGTGTTAGACATAATTGCACATCTTAAAAAGTTTCCCTAATCCCTTTTTTACATGAAACTATACAGTTTTAAAAAAGGAACTTGTAGCAGAGAATAATTTATCCCCTACTCAGTCCTCCAGAACAGTCATCGAAATGCTCTCCTGCAAAGATGAACGTGATATTCTTTCTTAAGCCATTTTTTTCCTCTAAAATTCTTGAAATGGTTTGAGTCTAACTTTATCCTTATTTTGAGGGCTCTGAGGAAAACTGCTTAAGCTTTAATATTTTTAGTAAAAACATGAGTAACTTAGGGCCTGGCAACCCATTAAGTTTTAAGGGACTATTAGTGTTTTGAGTAAGAATCTTGTCAACCATCTTGGGTCTCTAAACAGCAATTTGCATTTGTAAGTCCTGTAAACCACAAAATCTTCAGATCCTTAATTGCCTAAACTGTAGTTCAGCTATTAGTACACTTCTGATACGAACACGAGCCCTTTCCTTGGATAATTTTTAAGAGTCGAGTTGAATTTTCTTTTTGGCCCTGTCGCCTACACTTGCACGCTAAAACATGCAGGGGGTAGAATTACCCAGTTTAGCATTTGAGGTTTTATTTAGGTTGCTCTAATCCCCAGAGTTTGTTTTTTTACTACCTAGTAAGTACAGTTCTACAGGTAACTAAAGATAATTCTCCCAGGGATAGTAGATTGGAAATAGGTGAGAAAATCATGTTAACCTAGAATTAACTCAAAGAATGTAATGTGTGACTAGGTTGGAAATGTGCTGTCCATCTGAAAAGCTGAATAAGTATAATTTTTTGGTCTCATGTAGATAGTAATTGTAGTTGTGATTGTAGATCCAATATTAGGGGGACAAATGGCTCAGGTAACTAATAGGCCAGAACACCTGTGATTATTGTTTGGTTAGGCGAGTTATTGAGACAAGGAACTTAACCGTGTGTTTAATTTGAAATTATCTCATTACTTAAGAATATTATAATTTTTTTCTCCCTTTTCATGCCAGGAGTCAACATTAACTTGCAACTTGACAAGGAACAGGTTTTTGCTTTTAAAACTGGATCTGTGGGTATGAGAAACTATACTGTAGTCAAAAGTCTGGACAGACAGGAATGCGCAGAATGGCTCAGTCCCTTGTCGCACCCTTAGTCACAGCGCTGCACGAGCAGCTCAGCGGCAGTTGCCCCTGGCAGGTCCAGCTCGGTATCTGCGTGCTAGAGGATATGCAGGGGTTGCAGGCTGGCGAGCAAGCGGAGCATCTACCTGATGGACACAACTATTTGTGGCTTGATCTTTCCTACAGTTCCTTTGATAGTCTGGTCTTACAGGAAGTAAAAGTAGTTTCGTCCAGTAAAATCTTTGCTTGCCAAGCACACGAGAAGCGTTGCCACAAATTACAACGAGCCAAAGAAAGTTTTCAGTAAAAAGCAAAAGCCACCAAGAACGTTGAGATGGCCAGTACAGACATCTAACTCAAGTGAGAAAAGCTTTAGGGTTAGGGCATACAGATGGAAGAGAGAGAACTCCTTCAGCACGGTTGGGGCTTATTTAAATGGCAACTAACAGGTTTTTTTAAGCTAGCTGTTAAGGTATTTTAGATAAGGGAAACGGGAGTCGTGGTCAAGTACAATATAAAAGGTTCCAACTTCAATATTTTTTTAAAGTAATAAAGCAAAAAAAAAAAAATGTGCTGATTGAAATTTCATCTCCTTTTCCTTAGTCTGTCCATGTGAAGGCTGTGTGGAAGAGTAAAAGGGCCCAACTAAATGTGTTCCAGTGATTCCAATAGGTATTCCAAATTAATTGCTGCTTGTACATTTAACACTTGTTACATTGGGCTTCCAGGAATTTAATTAAGATTCCCTTTATTTTAAAAAGATGGGGGAAAGGAAGAAATTTGGTAACCGGATGGGTAGGTTCTAACACAGGAAAGAAAGTTTCTGATTTCTCCTTGGCTTAACCTGAAGTGAAATATTTGGTGGTATTTTAGTAATTGGCGGTCCTCTTGGATGGGTTTAAGGCACTAGGTGCAAATAGAGCACAGTCCTCTTACAATTGGAACCCTACCCCAATTTTCAAATTCATTCTGTTTTAACTTCATAATTACAAGATTTGTTAACGCCCTTTCTACTGGTAGAGTTTGAATGCCATATTCTAAAGCAAAAAAATTATAACATCTATGCTCCTAAGAACTTTCTGCATCTATATTAAATGCATAAACATTTTTATGAGTTTATAAAAATGGGGAAAAATGATCCTTTTGGATGAAGGGATAGTTTAGGAAGTAAATATAAATTATAAAATACAAGGAGGCTCAACATGAGCCTTGACAGTCAGGATGTAACATTTCATTGCCCTGAAGTTTAAAACGATACGGAGCTTAGGGGAAATTTATTTTTCCTACCACATACTCCATAATATATTCTGGTTGAAAATGAGAGGATTTGGGTGCTGTACCGACTTGAAAAGTAGCTCAGGGTTTGCTCAAGGAAGTAAGAGTTGTATTCTGTCACCTAAAAACAATCTAATGGCTTCAGGAGAGAAGATAACACAGTTTCAGAGGAACAGGTAATAATCACAACCAGTTCATCTGAGTTAAACAAAACTACAAAGTTAAAATTACAAAAACATTTGTTTACAAAATGAGCTTTGGATTTAGACAGTAAAGCACTTTTCACATGACTTCCTCAGGGGAAGAGACGTTTACGCATCCTTTAGGAGACGCACCCTTTAGGAGACCAGTCGATGCACACTGTTCACTTTGACCCCCTAAGGCAGAACTTGAAGTTATTCCTAGGGGAAAAAGTGGAACAGGTATCTATCTTCTGTTAATTGATCTAAACTTATAAAGTGAACAGTACTTGCTCATTGTCACTAATAGCTCTCTGAAGATAGAAGTTCTTGGGGAGAACCTTGTCCCTATTGTAGAAAATGAAGAGGAAGGCAAATGCAGTGGTTGAACGGCTGCTATTTACAACACATTAATCTGGAGTGCTCATGCCACAAACTTTAAAATGTAATATATTGAAAAACGCCTTCATAAGTTTTTCCATCCCTAACACTTCCCTTTTAAAATTTAAAGATGGAACTTAATGCATGAAATAAGTGTGTAAGATAACAGTATTCGGGTGGTAGAGGATATTGGTATAGTACACTGACCTTATTGGATGGCCACTGGACCATATTTTAAGATGTTTCCAAAAATTATCCTAGAGGACCAGAAAAAAATCAATTACAGCAATCGTTTTAATTTTTCTACTTTCCTCATTAAGGTTTTCTGCTTACCCAAAGCATAGTGTATATATTAACAATGACTTTTAAAGGGGTGTCTTGACCCCTATCTGCAACAGATTTTTATCTAGGAATAGAAGGATTCAAACCTTATTTGATCCCTAGCTCTGTGCTGAAAAGTGCATAAACAGGAATCCTGAATTTATTATGTAGACCTCGCATTATATAATCGAAGCAAAGGGAAACCAGCGATGGAGTAGAGGTACGTAGACTAAAGAGATGCTTGCAAATCAAATAATGGTACTAGGGATAGTCAAAATTTCTTGCTTCCCACCTTGGTCAATATAATATAAATCATAACTCCAGAGAAAAGCTTGTAGTTAATTTTAATTCCCTTAGGTCCTTTAATTGAGATGAAAAAGCTAGTAGTCAAGGAAAAGCAATGGGGCGGGGTGAGGGAAGGGGGAAACGCATAAAGCACTAGAAAGTTGACAAAGTAGGTATGATAGATAAGCCACAAGAAGTTTTAAAAACTACTAATGACCACAATTCTATTTTAATCAGCTACTTAGCTGGTACCTACTGCTATGTCACCTAGCATGAAATTTCGGGATTACTGGAACACTGAAGGAAGCCGTGCTGCCGGAGGCTTCAGGTGGGCATGGAAGGTAGGTCTCTTTCAGATTAAAATTGGAAGGGTGTGCTTGGATGGGAAGAGAACCCAGTTTCTGTCCATTTGCTAGTGAACATTTAGTAATTCACTTTAACAAGCGTGTTGACTGGTGCCAGACCCTTGGTTAGAATGTAAAGATAAAAATTGACAGGTTTCTTGACAGCAAGAAACTTAGGCTCTAGTTGTAGTACAAGGTAATGACCCATAAATCATAGTGCCACCTACTACAACAGATGAAACACCAGAGTATGAGAACCTAAATGGGAAGGTGGTTCTAACCCGCAGAGATTAATGATCAGAAAGAGGAATGCTACGGAGAAGTAGAAAAATGGTATTTGGAGTGACATGAAGAAGTTTGAGCAGAGGCATGAATTCAGGTCATGGTGGCCTGAGATGTACTGAAGATAGAATTGATTTGGACTTGAAGTTGGATGGCAGAGTGGGAATGGACTGGAAGGGCTAGACATAGAAGTGTCAAAACCTACTTGGAGGCCTTAACCAGAGGTGCCCGTAGCAACGTGATGAAGGGCCTGGGGTACGCCAGACACAGCCTCATCATTCAGTAGTGCATTTTGTAATGTCTTACAAAGTGTTAATGACCATGTAAACTTAGGAGTGACATTTAAAAAGTAATCCAACTATGTTAAACTTCCCTGTTTTGATCCAGGTCTCCGATTTACGAAATCATTCCACTGTGAAGGTGAGACTAACCTTTTCAGCGAAGGCCTTGGGAGTTTACCAGCCGAGAGCGAGCCTTCTCTCAGCCCGGGTAAGACGTTAAGCGTAGTGTGCTAGAGCTAAAAGGGGCTTTAGCTGCTTACTCCAGTTTCCTCATTTTATATGTTACATATGTTTGTAAACTGAAGCTAAGAACATAAGCAGCCAGTGCAGTCTGCTAAATATCATGTTGGATTAGTACTCAAATTTTCCTCCCCCTCATGCAGTCTGCCTCGAGTCTCACTCACATGATGGGATTTGTTTAACGTAATATTTGGTCATGATAACTGGAGTACCGGAGACTGCACCTAGCATGGATTTGTCAGTAAGAGTGGGCAGAAGTTCTTGCCAACTGCATTTTCCTTTCTAATAACCTTCCCATATCAATGCCTAAGTCCTTTTGGTGGCTGCCAGATGATTCGGACCCGTAAGAACGTTCGGACAGGTGCTTGGCAGTGTCTTCTCAGTCTGGTAGTTAGGGCACAGCCTATGCGTCCCAACCCTCGTGGCGGCCACAGGAAGGCGGGCACGGGAGCGGAAATGTGCTCAGGCTGAGCTGGAGCAAGCCCCATTTCCCCTTTGGGAGGGACTGCAGAACAGAGTGAAGCTTCAGGACCTCTCTTCCTTGTTCTTATTTCTGTAGCTGACCGTGCTAGCCAATAGGACCAGTCAGTAGTCATGCCATAATCCTGTCCACTGGTGTCATATTTATTTCTGAACCAGGAAGACCTCTGGCTTGTATTTTATTTAACAGATTTTTTTTTTAAAGTAATGTCGATATTTATTAAAACAAAATAAAAAATTTCATTGCTTTGGAAAAGAAGAATTTTTTTCCTGAATGAATAAATGCTGAGGACTTAGTTGGATGTTGGGTGTTGTTTAAAAAAAATAGCATGGCATTAAAAATGTCTTCGTGTATATCATGTTAATAATACTATATGTAATCCTGCAGTTCTTTTTTTCCTTTGCACCAATGGAACAAGTTTTGAAAATATTTTTGCATATCATTTAAATTCTACTTGAAAAATTAAAACCGTGCATTCTTATGAAAAATATTTAGAGCAGCTAGAAACACCCTTTACCTGTTGTAAGAAAGGGAAGAATAGTGTCAAGCAATGGATACGTTTTCAAAGTAATTTGCAAAGTGATACGCCCATTAGTTTAAGCCTTCATGTCAGCATTGTCTTGGAACCGCCAGGAAGGCCGTGGCCGGTGGCTCGGTTGGTTGGAGTGTCTCCCGCGCACCAGGAGGCTGTGGGTCTAACCCAGGTCAGGTGGCCTGCGGGAGGCGGCCAGAGAACGCTTCTCACACCGTGTGTCCCTCTCCCCCTGCCCCTCTGCAATCAGTGAGCATATCCTCAGGTGAGACTTAAAAAAAAAAAAACAACAAAAAAACCCCGAAAGGAGCCCCTCCTCACTTTCTAGAAGGTACAGCAGTATGATTGTTTTTTGTTTCTAAGGCAGGTTTTAAAATCCACCTGGAAGCAATTCTGATTCCTAAAATGCCATCATTTATACTTAATCAGTATGACAAGTCTACTGTATGCTATACTGGTGTAGATTAACAAGGCCAGAGAAAGATCATAAAATATTCATATAAGTGTAAAAAAGACTACAACTTAAACACATACTTTATTTACTCAGTTGAAAGCCTCCGTGTGGTACATACGACGTACATAGTTGATTGCAGCTTTGTCCACACCAACATCACTGAGTTGTGTTTGGGTTTCTGTGCTCGAGACCCCGTTCAGTTGCTGCCGTTGCTTTGTTTTCTTTCAGGATCAAGGTGGGTACTTTCATATAAAATCTTATTTTTAATTCCTTCTCTGGCAATTCTTTCCTGGATTCTTTGCTTTGCATAATTATACCTACAATGGAACCTGGGAAGAATATGAACAAATCATTAATATAAAATTTCTATAGAAACATTTGAAATCCTATACTAACAAAATTTAGGAATGCTTACAGATGAGTACCCCGAGACTGAAAAAATACCCGTTCTAAACTTGGAGTGCTATTTCTGGGTGGTTTGGTGTCAAAAGATAGCTAGGAACACGTTCTATTATTTTACTATTATTAAAGTATGTTTTATATAAAAGAAAGGTTTCTATCACCTTAGCTTAATTTTACTTGTAGAACTGCATATAAGTGGAACCAGTACTTTGGGTCTGGCTTTTTTGCTCCGGAAGATAGAGTTGATAGTCATCCATGCTGTACTGGTTGTGAACACATTCTTAAAGTACCCGGTGTTGTGCTGTAAGCAGGGGAGGCTGGGCTTTGGGGTCAGTGAAAGGGTGCAGGCCTTCCTGAATGAGGTGTAAACCATGGCTGGGCTTTGACGGCGTGTGTCCCGTCATGCAGTCGTCTGTCCATTCGACAGATGGTAGAAAACAGGAGTGCAAGCACATTGCAGAGATTTACGGCATTCCAGCAATATAATTTTAAGAAATTTCTACTAAAAAGTCCTTTAAAAAAAAAATCTAAACCCTTTAAACAACTGAGAGTGAGAATCTCCCAATGGAAAATTGCTCCAAAAAGAGCGTGTGCTTTGGAATTGGCTATAAACCTGTTGTCTAATTGTGGCTCTTTTTGAATACTCAGTGCACATACCAGTATCCTAAAGTCACCACGATAAATCCTCCTACTCCAACATCACATGATCTTCTAATTCTGCCTGTCAAAAAGCACAACCACTGTAATTATTATACATGACATATTATCTAGGAAACAAGTGCTCACCACACGTAAGGGTTATTGATACACAGAGAAAAACATACTCACTAGTTAACAGGAAATGTCCAAGGCCAGCCGCAACTGATCCTAACGAACCGTATAATACTGAGTCCCGTGCACAGGGAATGTTCTCAACATCTAAAATTCCTAGGAGCTTGAAGGACTAGGGTAAAACAAAAAGAACCTAGGATGAATAAATACTGTACATCAGTGTTTCTGCAAAGATTAGAGTATGTGCTGTGTGATGATCATGAATCTGTTTACTTGACTGGTAATGTCCTCATCCTGCCTTTATATTCAGTCTGAACAATCTGAATCTTAAAGTGGGAAACCTTGAGAATTTAATAGACCAGGAAGTCCCAGGCAATAGGATAATATACCTGAATTAAATTTTGGTTTTAGACAATAATTTGATTATCAACTGGTTTGGAAACAGGAGCATATTTTATGCGCTCTTTAAACATCTGTGAAATGGGGAGGGAAACAAATGGGATAAGTACGTTACTCAAACCATGTTTGCTTATAGTGTTAGTATAGTGCTGTTTTAAATTCCTTTATTGGTGTTAATGAGGTGAACATCAATTGTTTATAGGAATAAATATGTTGTGTAAGGATAAAATGTGGGCAATATAATTTCTGGTCTGCTTCCTTGCCTGATATCAAATTGCACTTGATTGTATTTATCTTGGAAGGCAGGACAGACATTAAAAAGTCATACCTGTTTCACTGTAGCATTTCTATTGAATACAGAAATCGGAAACGTATACATTTTCTAAAATTTGACTAAATGCAGGTCTTCAGTAACCTGGCTTCTAAAAGGAAGCTCCTGGTCCATTTAGATGGTAGTATGATGTGAGGGGGAGGACTTTAGCCTAGAGGGGAAGGAGGGTCCTGGGGGAGGTAATATGAGGGGAAAACAGACGGGAAGAGATGGGGCAGGACTGCCAGGTTCAAGGTTGGAACAAGAACATTCTTGATTGTGTTTTTCTCCTGTTTGCTTCTTTGGCTCAAGCTTCTGCCAGAAAAGACAATGTGACCTGGTTCATAATAAAGCAAAAATTACATATTCTCTTGGGTCATTCTATTCCGTTTTTCTTTGGTCTCTCCCTGCTGCCCACCCTTCTCACACACACTTAAACCGGTCCTTCCTTCGTTAACACGCAGGCGTTCAACGCTGCAGACTTCATTTTTGAAAGCGGTTGGGGGATTTGAATTCTGTTTTTAAAGACAAACACCTTACAGAAATTACATACCCTGTTTTAAACGGCACCTTTTAAAACCGACATGTGGGTAGAGGCCAAGGATTCTGTTGCTAAACATGCTATAGCCCATCAGCCTCATCTCCGACCTGACCTGCTGGGATGGCAGCAGCTCGGAGGCTGAGAAACCAGCACGGGTCTGAAACGGTGTCAACATGGAGCTGGCAGGGGGTGGTGAGGGGGTGGTGAGTGCTGTGCCCTTTTTACATCCCTGGTGCTTAGTTCTCACGACCTCTGGGGCATCGTCTCTGAAACAGGCTCAGGCTGTTAAGTGTGCACACAATGGAAGTCAGCCTAAACCTGCCCCAAGAGCCTGTTTCTGTGACATCATTTAACTGTGTGTGAGAGGTTTTATTTTTAGAGAGGGGATGGGAGAAAGGGGGAGAAGCATCGATGCCCCGAGAGGAACGTGGATTGGTTGCCTCTCACAAACCCCAAATGGGGACTTGGCTTGCAAGCCAGGCCTGTGCCCTAGCTGGGAACCAACCAGCAACCATTTGATTCGTAGGCCGGCGCTCAGTCCACTGAGCCACACCAGCCACAGCATGGGGTTATTATTTTTTTTTAATAGATGAAAAAACCAAAGCTCATAGAGGAGTCATTTTCCAAAGAGTAATTTAAAGACTAAAAATACATAACTGTATCTGCAACTTGTATCAAAACTGTGGGTAAGAATGAACAAAATTTAAGACCACAATTTCCTTTTACTAGGAGAGCATTCCCACCTGAAGAAGAGCTTAGACCAGCAATTTACAACTGGCATGGTGCAAGAATTTTTAATACATGCAGTACCTGACAATTTAGGGACACTGACCTGTTTTCCCTTAGGTTATCAAGTTAAAAAATGACAACAGCCAACACAATACCTGTCGTGTCAATGAGTCAAAATTCTACCTAGGTTTTTTGTTGTTAGATTGGCAATAAGTTTTTTTGGGTTTTTTTGTTTTGTTTTATTTTTTTTTGGTATGCCGCAGAACTTTGGTAATTGATGTGTGCCGTGAGATGAAAAAGGTAAAAAATCACTGGTGTAGACTTTGACAACTGTTAACTTCCAGGAGTAAGTATGAACCTCAATGGAGAACCAGTCTTCAGCATATGAACTGTAAGGTTCTCGGAAACAAATTAACATTTCCCTAATGAGTCTTCTGGTTTGACTTGTCATTAATGAGTTAAGCCCTTTAAGGAAATTTTAGGGGTTTGTTTATTTATTTATTTATTTATTTATTTAGTAGACATACTCTTAAGCTTAGATTTAGGAAAGCAGCTTTTCCAGCTCGCCTTGATGGAACTAGGGAAAGCGCAAGGTTTCTAAGCCAGAATGTCAGTTTAATAATTTATAGGAAATAGATCAGATCAAATTAAACCACCTCATTTCCCGCTGCCAAATAGTTGTCTCAGTGCCCATATTTGTCCTCTCGTTAACAAAGGATGAACTGGCTCTCTTCCTATTTAAAAGTAATCCTAACAGTTCTTCTCAAGGGTGTTTGTACAGTTAGCTCTTACTTTGTTTGCATCATTTTTCCCTCTACTACTCAGCCTAGATATACACAAAACCCGTCTCTGCACACCCGGTCCTCCCATGCCTAAGTGAACTGTGCCCTAATTTCTGCCCCCCTTCCTGCACTGTGAAGCTGAAGTTAACGAGTGCTTCTCCACGGAAGATTGAGCTTCTGTCTCACTCCAGTGTCGCATCCAGCCACTGTGCGCCACTGAAACGGCACTGAAACATCCATTTCCCCAAACCCATAGTACTCCCCAGTAGCATGGGGCAGAAATAAGTCATGTTTCTGAAAGTTTCTTGGTTTCAAATATGACAATGTCTCCTAGTCTTCTATCTCACTGGCTCTTCTCGGCAGCTTTCTTGCTGTCCCCCTTCTCTGATGACATCTAAATAAAATGCCGCCCTACCCCCCAGTCTAGTCTCTTTGTAGGTGACTGAAGGGTTTCAATTAAATGCCACTTACACGATGACTCCCACATTTGTAAGTCAAAAACTGATCTTTCCCAAGCTTTCGTTTCACCTGTCTATTGACACCTATGTCTCACAAGCTCTTCGAACTTGGTAATACCAAGTCAGTTATTCAGACCTCACTACTCAACTGTCAGACCAAAATCCTAGAGTCACCCTTGATTCCTCTCCATGAAACCCTTGTCCAGTGTATCAACCAGCAAGTCTGGAAGGAACCAAATACACCCTGAACCAACTACTCACCGTCACTGCTGCTACTACCATCCCGTCGAGATTCTGATTCCACCAAGATGACTATACCGATGTTTAAACCCTCCACGGCCTTCGGATGTGCTCAGAACAACACGTACTCCTTACTGCTGCGGAGGCCCTCTTGAGCCAGCACCTTCCCTCTTTGCGTACCTCTCTCTGGGCCTCCAGCACGCTGGCCATTCCTCTAAGGTGCCTAGGTGGTTACTGGCACGCACACACTCCCGGATCTTTGCCTGGCTGGTTCAGTAAATCAGATTGTTTTTGCTTGATTCCCCCAGCAGAGTGAATTACATAAAGACAGGGATTTTGCCTGTTTTGATCAAAACTACCTTTAGCACCTGGTTTAATGACTAATACTCAGTAGGTATAGTCTGTGCATATTTTTTTTTTGAATGGGTGAATTCATAAATTTAGAATTTACTGAGCACTTTCCTGATAAGCATGTACCAAATTTCGTATTTTAAACTTCTCCAAAGAGCAGAGAATGAGCAAAGTTTTTAAGGGCTAGTTCAGGCAGGTGTGCTAGCTTGATACCTTTCCCATTTTTATCTTACCTTTGCTGATTCTGAAGATCAATCCCTGAATTGTATGTAAATGATCACTGGAAAAAATTCTTTTTAACTACAGGCTGCCTTTTCTGACATTACCCTGGGCCACTAACTCAGACGTAGCTTATATTAATTTTACTATGTTCTTTTATGAGCATTGATAGGTACTAGTGTTTGTTTATTTATGGTGCTTTTTACAGTATTTTGCTTTGCTAATGATGGACCAGTTAAATAAGGTGACTATTTTTTTTTTCATTGAATTCTTTTATCAAATCTCAGTGGATTAAACCACCGCTATGACCAGTACATGACAGCAGTTATCTATCAGTGAACTGTCAGTTACAGTAGATTAACGCCCCCTACAAGATCCCAGTGTTCTCACAAAACCATCTAGAACTTCGTGTTTGGAATACAGGAGTTTAAAACAAGGGTCCATTTTTTTACACTAAGCATATTCCAAATAGTACACAAGATATTAAAAACAAAAAGCACTTCAAGCTGTATAAATTGGCAAAATTTGTTGCTAACTATGGAAAGATTTTATCCGACATTCGTTCATATTAACCATTTGATGATCTGCTACCTTGGCCAAATATAGGTGGAAAAGTACCCAGAGAAGCAAGAACTTGGAAGTGAGCAAAATTTCCAAGCTTGTCAGAGAGTATTCTTAAAACTATAGGAGCTATTTGGCACACAGTGGGTCTTCAATATTTGTTCACGATCCGTCCCTTATCTATTGGGTTCCCCGCTCTTGAGCCCAAGAAGACAGATGATTAACTGATGGTATAATAAACGGTGTAATGACGCAGCTATGGGGCGACGGGAACAGAAGCACCTGGGCCTGCTTTGGGGATTCAGGGGAGACCAGAGAGCCTAGATTAGCTTTCAAACACCTGGAGGAAAGTGCGAGAAGCCAGACTGGCCAGTCAGGGGCTAGGTGGAGGGCTTTGCATTGTTACAGGACAAGGTGACAGCAATGCGTTCCTAAGACTGGACTTGAAGCAGGGCGGTGAAATTGTCCGGATGACAGGTTAGCGCACCCTGACAGTCGTGGACGCTGGACTTAGCAGGGCAGAGAGAAGACACGAGTCCAGCTGCGGAAGCTCTCGGTTCCCTACAAGACCGCAACACGCCACCGCGTCGGGAGAGAGCAAGGCTAACGGGAAAAACCTCAAGCTTTCCCTCGGCTCCTCCGGCTCCGCATCTGAAGTCATGGGAATAGAACCAAATTCCCATGCCTCAGCATTCCTGGATCCCGCCACGTTAAGTGTCAAGTATAAAGCATCAGAGACAAGGCAGCTGTCCCCGGGAGCTTACAAATCTCCCTTTCCTAGTAAATTACAGTGCAAGGCTCCGGTCAGCAAAGGACCAGAATCGTTAGCTGTTTTACAGTGACCCGCAGTACGTCATTAGCAGTAGCGGTCCGTCCTCCTGCTAGTTCTGGACACTATTGTCCTGACAATGAAGACAAAAATACCGGCGGGTGGGGGCGCACATTAATAGAGCCCACCCCGCGACGGTACGGAAGCCATGGACACGTGCTCGGGCCTCAGGTCACCCTGCTCGAGAGGCCGCGTCCGTAAAAGGCGCCCGCCCGCGCCCCACCGCCCCCGGGTTACCTTCCCTTTCTCGGGCTCGCCCGGCTCCGGCGCCGCGGCCATGGGGACGAGTCGGAATCTCTAGTCCCGCCCCGCCCCGCCCCCGACGGGGGCCGCCGCCGGCGGAAGCCCCGCCAGCCACGCACCACCCCCCTGCGCGCCGGCCGCCATTTTAGGGAACGTTTCTCCCTCTCCGCAGTGGCTACTGCGGCCCGGGTCGTCTCCTTTGTTCCCTGAATGGGCCACGCCTTCTCCATCAGCGGCTTCCCCCGCCCTGATAGCCGGGACTGTGGGAGGGGGTGGGTTCGGGAAGCGACCCCGCGCCCGGGCTGCCAGCGGGGCGGCACAGCGCCCCGGCACTAAGAGACTGCGCCTCTTCCCTCCCCAGCCCCCACCTTCCGTCCCAACCGCCATTTCTAACCGTCGCCCGCGCACTCGTGCTCGCGTGCACGGCCGCCGAGCGCGCGCCGCGGGGCGGGGGCGGGGCCGCGGGGACGGAGGGAGAGAGCGCGCCGCCGCCGCTTTGTCCTGCGCGCGGGCCCCCAGCCCGGAAGTCGGCCTAATGTGGCTCGGGGCCCGCGTCCCCTACGTGTCCTTTGTCCTTCCGGCCCTGGGCCGAGCCCCGGGTGCCACGGGCCACTCCACCCAGCAGCAGCCGCAGCCGAATGTGCCCTCGCCTCCTCCCCCTTTTATTTGCTTCCAATACTTAGGGGCTTTAAAATAGCACCACTCGGTTCGCCTAAAGGAGACTGGGGACAAAATGGAGGGAGCAGCTCGTTACTGAACGTGCGTCAGGACGTTTGCCCTCCCCTGCAGGGCGCTGAAAGAGTTTGGGGTTTACATAGAAGGCCTGCACCGTGCATATTTAATGTGAGGCGGTGGTCCATGGTGTACCCTTCCCTAGGGCTGCGAATTCACGTGAAACCTGAAATACTGCGGGTTGGCGAGATCAGTCGAGGATGAGCGCGTGCTGATCTGGTGTGAGAGAGGGTCACGCCAATTTCTCAGCACGCTGCCTACATTGCAATTCCGTTTTCAGTGTTTTTGGTTTTGTTTTTTTCCCCCCTATCCACCCTAAGGTAAATGTCCTTGTGATTACCTTATGCCTCCTTTGTATTTCACGCTTAGTCTTTGAATATCTCAAAGTTGTACTCCTGGGAAAATGTTGAGGCTTTAGAGCGTGTCATTGTGCAAAGTCATGCTGCTTCTGAATAAGCCGCTCCTGGCACACACACAGTGCTGGATGAGATTGGCAATGATGATTTTATATTAGCTCTCGTTAACTGAACGTTCTCTTATTCTGTGTAATGACCTTGCTTCCATAATCATTTAATACCTTTCTACAATCCCAATAAAATTTACAATTTACAACTTCTGTGTAACAGTTATTTTTTTTTTAAATGATTAACTTTCGGGGAAATTGGACAGCTGCAGACAAATTACATACTGCTCTAATATTATTGGGAAATAAGAAAAAAGCCACCCCACCCGTGGTATCCTGCCAATTTGAAATTCTCAGCTGAAATTCTTGAACTAACTATGCTTTGAACTCTTGGTTGGAAGGTAATGTTTGAGGTAGTAATATTCCATAAAGGAGTGAGGAATTATTTTGAAGTGTTTCCTAATTATGTTGTAAATGAAGGAGAGCTGGAAAACTACCAGGTAAGACACCATAAAGCCATCCTATTTTATTTTTTATTGTGACTTTGAAAATTGCTAGGGTAAGCTTAGCTGAGATCCGTTTCATTAGTCTTTGAAAGTATTCTCATTTTTTTAAATATTTTATTTTCACAAAAATTGCAAAATACCCACATGTTTGGTTTTTTCATTTTCACAGTTTACAGTGAAAAGTAAAAACCTTTTTCACTCTCACCCTTTTTCTCCCCTCTTTAAGATAAATACAACCAATAATGGGCTATGTCTCTTCCTAAACTGCTTTCTTAATTAAAACACTAAAATATAGGGTAAAAGTGAAAGTCTCTATGGCACATCTTCCCCCATAGGTATGTATACATGTATCCATATATCATATCAAAATGGCTGCACTGTGTGATGGCTGCATAAATTATTGAATCATGCATTCAATAATGTACTTTTTACTATTTAACGCTACATCTTGGAAATATTTTCATGTAAGTACCTATAGATTTGCTCATTCATTTTAATGGCTGCTCAGCATTCCTTTAATCATTTTCTTTCTGACTGACACAAAAAGTGTCCATTTTTTCATTAATCCAAAAGATGTCCCTGAACATCTTGTACATTTTCTGAGGCAGACCTGGACTCAACCATTTCTCCAAAGAGCTGTCTCCCCTTCCTTCCTTCTTCTCTTCCTCCTTCCCTCCCTTCCTCTCTCTTTCTTTTTCTCTCTCTTCTGTTCTTTGTCGGAATAATACTTGGAAATCAAGAGCTGGCCACTAGGCGAGCTCACTGTTACTGGGACGCCGCTGCTCCTAGGCTCTTCCACTGCGCAGAGGCAGGAAGATACTTTTGTTAAACCATGAATTGATACTGCTCTTCAAACGAGAACGTTTACAACTGGGCCCCAGTGGTGCCCACTGCTCTTTGGCACCACTGCTTCTTGGCTTTTTCAGTGGACAGTTACTGCCTGCTACACAATAGGACGTATTAATAGGTGTCAGGAGTTTTACTTTTCTGGATTTTACACTCGGGCCTCTTTCCCGCTGAAAATCTAGTTCCTAAGATCTTTCTATAATCATTTCCCCTACCCACCTACCAACCTTTTTGTCCCTAGAACACACCTCACCAGGGCGTGCAGTCAGCGTTGTGTGTGAGTCTTTCTGTGTGGCTACACCACCAACTGGATGGGCACTGAGATGCGTTCATTTCAATTGGTCGAATATTTTGAAAATATAAAACTTCTCTGCCCTTCGTTAATTTTTGTAATAAAAATGTTTCCAGGCAGCATGTTTGAATAAATACCTTGAGTAAATGCATCCGGGAGAGAAAAGCTTCCTCCCTTCAAACCTGCTCTCCTCCTTCCCCTGAAGTGTGGCCGGGGCGTGTGTGAACCGGCCGGTGTGTGGCCAGGGCCTCTGCTGCCAAATGAGTGACGTATTTTTATTACAATTTTGCAGATGGAGAAATTGATTCTCAAAAAGGTCAAGTAACTGCCCAAGCCATACTATAAGGAAGTGAAAAGCTCAGAATTGAATGACAAATGTCTTGTTTAAAACCCTGTATTCTTTTCTATTCCGCCATGATGCCTGCCAGTAATAACTTTATACCATGTATAATATTTAAGTCTAGAACTCTGTTCCACCCCAGTTCAGGAGAGACTTGGTATGTTTATTTTTTACTGTTTCATACTGCATCGGGCACATTCCTAACAGCTGTCCTAGCAACAGCCCAAACTGGAAATGCCCTAAGAACTGCTGCTAATGTGACAACTTGGGTGAATCCCAGAAATAGAAGCTTGAGAGGAAAAAACCAGATGTGAAGATATATATGCTGTATGTTACTACTTACATAAAGTTCAAGAGCATATGAAATGAATCTATGGTTTAGAATTTGGGTGCTGGGATCAGTGAATGGGAGGCAGCTGCAGTGTTGGGTGCAGGTTGTTCTGTTTCTCTCTGTGGGTTTTGGTTATGGGGGAGGGGGGTTTGCTTTGTAAAACAACATTAGGTTAATATTATTATCCTTCCTTATTTAATGGAAAAGGAAACCGAGGCTTAGAGAGGTTAAAAACTTTGCCCAAGGTCACATAAATGTGGCTGAACTGAGATTGTAACTCTGTTCTCTCCAAGGCCAGAGCCCATTCAACCACTGCCTCTGCATTGGAAGAGGCGCGTGGAGGAATTCTGGGTGCAGGAGGCCCAGCGGCAGCGCGGGGCTGGCGGGGAGCAGCCCAGAACAGAGTGTGTTCCTGAGGCACCTGGGGGTGTCCTAGAATGAGGGAGGCTGGCGGGGTTGGGGCTCCGGAGTGAGGCGGGGATCCTTACAAAGCCTCAGGGATAAGGGAGAAGCCGTGGCGTTACTGTCAGCCAGCATCCCAGCCCTCTGCCACCAAGACACCGTCATCACAGCGGCAGGATGTCTGACCCCAAGGGGTCGCTACTGAACACGTGAAGTCTCAAAAAGTAACCAGAAGGAACCATTCTTACTATGTATACATTATACATTTATATATATACATACACACGCCCACCCATGGACACTATCACACTGTTCGGATGGCCAAAGAGCCATGGCAAAATGACATACTAACAATCAGGTTCAAAAGTTAAGATACACTCTTTTACTATCTGTTGCAGCTTATACAAAAATTCTAAACCTCAGAGGTATTTTTTTTCCTCAGCCTGTGAACTCATACGCTTTAAAAGAAAAAATCCTCCCCCAAGGCTATGTTTGTTGATATTCGACAGCAAGGAAGGTGGGGGGTGGACGCGGGGCGGGGGGGCAAAACATCAGTTTGAGGAAACATCGATTGGTTGCCTCCCTCCGTGCCCCAACTGGTGGTTAAACTCGCAACTTTCTGGTGCACAGGACATCACTCCAACCAACGGAGCCAACCCAGCCAGGGCTCAGCCTGTGAACCATTCATAAGCTCTTCATTTCCTTGGCAACGCAAAGCATCTGAGGCCCATGATTTATTCAGAGAAGGAGGTTGTATCCCCTGTTCCCCCACTTCAAAAAAAAGAGAAGCAGCCATTATAGGAGAGCCACTCTCAAACCCAAGGCGCGGGCCTGTCAAGCTTAGCCCGAGCGCAAATGGATACAGTTCTGGGAACAGCAGCCCTTTCCAGCTGCGCGTGAGGGAAGGGGGTGCTTGGTTAGCAGTGGCGCCCTCCAGAAGCCGCCGCTTGTTCCCCACTGGCCCCCAAGGCTTGCCCTTGCGCTGGGTCCTCACTGAGGGAAGGATGGGAACGGCCCTCACGTGTTTCCGCCACCACCGCCACTGGGCTATCGTCTCTTATCAGGAAACGTTTGGAAAAGTTTTCACCTTTTAGTCTCCACATGTTAGGCTTTAATGTTTTGTTATGATGGTTTATGAGATTTTATCATAGTAACTTATTAAATAAATTAAGACATTTTAAAGGAGAAGGAAGCTACAGAATTGTCAGTATGTG